ACGAAGGGGTGATGCTAGAGCTGTGAAATCTTGTATGCATTAATTTCAATGTAGTTATTAATAACTACATTGTTTATTTCTAGATAAACTGACATATGATTATTCCAAGAAGCTTGTTCATCCTGTTGCAGAAAAATTTCATCAACAGTAGGTATGCCATCATCATCATCATCATCATCATCATCATCATCATCATCATCATCGTTGTGATACTGGTTCTCAGCCAAATATTATTTCATGTTGAGGAGAAGAGGTGGGGTGCTCAACCAGTTCAAAGCCACAGTCATACATAGCAGCCATTGAAACCAAGAAAATGTGTGCTGGAACTTTATCCTAATGAAACAAGACCCCTTTTGACAGTTTTCCTGGGGATTAGGTTTTCATAGGCTTTCGTAACTACAGCATTGATAGTGTGGCTCTTTTGAAGATAGTCAATAAACAATACTTTTCGCATCCCAAAAAACTGAGGTCATCACCTTCCCTGCAAATGAAATGACCTTGGTCTTCTTTGGAGCATGTGATGAGTGGTGTTTCCATTGCATGGATTGTTTCTGGCTTAAAATGACAAACCCAACACTCATCTTGGGTTAGGTAACGTTCAAGGAAATCAGTTGGATCTGTCTCCATGTCAGGTTTTTTTGTGATCAACCTAGGCACTTTTGATCAGGTGTCAGAAGACATGGAACCCATTGAGAATGCCAAGTTCATTGTACTGAATATTTTCAACTCTCTCATGGGATATGCTAATAGCATTGACTATTTGATTTATAGTCACTTGTTTGTCATCCATCACTAATATTTTCTTTCGTTGTTGTAATCACTACATCATCCACAGCAAATTCATGTTCAGGTTCTTACAACATTTCACCTTTTTGGCAAACCTTCTATTATCACAATATTGGATATTTAATAACAAGGAAGATGGAAACAAAAAAGCAGCTAAAAGAAATCTGATAGACCATATACCCAAAACATATACTAAAAAAATTAATACATACAAGATAAATTGTTGCCATTTTTCATATTTTTAATTTTGGACATGCACATTGTTTGTTTTTGATTTTGTCAATGCACAGTATACTAGGGTCAATTGGGCACCATCTGTAAGAAAAAGAACACCATGATGTAATTCAGTATGCTAGAAATTTGAAAACAGCATGCTACACTCTTGGCTATTTTTGCTGGAAGCTCCAATACGAAAATTTCATAGTGTTTGAGTGTCAATCTGAGGACAGTGCAGACGATTTGGAAAGAGTTGGATGAGTTTAATGGTGATTACAAAGGTATTTAGAGCAATCACTAGTGACGTTATGCCTCCATTCATCTTCCCACAGGACCTCAGACTCAACAAGGAGGCCTACATCAAGTGCCTTGAGGAGGTAGTACTGCCCTGGGTCAAGAGGATGGTTACCTATGTCTGGCAACAGGACTCTGCATCTGCACAAAATCAGAAGAACCCAATCATGGCGGTCAGGCAATTTCTGTGACCACATCACCCCTTAAATCTGGCTACCTCAGACTGCAACCCCCTTGATTATTATATGTGGGGTACAGTTGAGCAAGAGAGCAAAAATATTCTTGTAACATCAAAGATAAACTGAAGGCAAGGATTATGGCAGCCTTCATCAACTTGAACAAGGGTACTGTCCAGAAGAAATGTGGGAGATTCCAAAGTCCTTTGGAAGTTGGGTTTGAAGCTGTTATGGGAACTTACCCATAATAATAATAATGGATATTCCTGACATTATAAATATTGCGCCTCTCAAGAAGTATCAGGAGATTGTAAGACGAGGAGAGATAATTGAGAGCATATTGTAAGGACATTGGAATAGTGATACTTGTCGAGACAACATAGTTCACTCTAACCAAAATCTGATAGTCATTACTAATACTTCTACTTCTTTGTATTATATTTCTGTTGTAATATATCTTTGTATTCCATACCTGTGTTCGTGTTATTCTTTCATTGGTTCTAACCTTTGACCATCACCGTGGTACAAGGAACTTGGACCATAACAGAAGTCAATGGTGATTTTATTAAATAAATTTACTCTTTAGTATTTCAAGATATTTTTGTATAATTTTGGTAAATGTATCTGTCAAAATGAGATGTCAGTATTATTTTATTTTTTGCGTAATTTTGGCATTAATTTATCTTTTTTATATATATATAAATATATATATATATATATATATATATATATATATATATATATATATATATGCACAAACACACACATAGCATAGGCTAAATGTGTTTGCCTGCCTTGAAAGTCAATATTTGAAATCTGGCTTTTACATGTGTTCTAAACCTGACCACTTGCATTAGTGGGAAATTTAAAATGATCTCAAGCACAATACTGTTCTCATATTGATATTTACTAAGATTGGCTTAGTATAACATAAGACAAAATAAGGGAAGGATGAAGGTATTTTGCCAACCTTCCATATGGCAAAACCTGGGATGAAGCACTAATATCTATCTATATCAGTCTATTCAGATATCTGTCTATATATATCTCGGATTCTTCTCTTTCTATCTATCTATCTAGCTATTTGAATCTATTCATCTTCATCAGTCTACCTATATTCATATCTGTCTTTTATTTCAGTGTTCATATCTATCTATCTGTTATTTTTATATCTCTTTATGTTCCTATATCTGTTCACATCTCAAAATCTCTCCAGCTATGTTCATATCTATCTCTCCAGATATGTCCCAATCTATCTATCTATCTATCTATCTATCTATCTATCTATCTATCTATCTATCTATCTATCTATCTATCTATCGTATCTTCATATCTCCAGTGTTTACATCTATCTATCTATCTATGGTTTTAGTAAGCACCATGATTCTTTGAACCTTGTGAACTAACACTACAGAGTCACAAACAAATCAGATAACAAAAAACACAACACTTGAGGAATTTTTACCAGCAGCAACAACTAAAAATAATAGTGTATGTTACTCCAAGAGAGAATAATGACATAATGAAGATATTAACATTCCACATCACTTCAGACAAAAGGTTAGGAAGGCAGCCTCCACCAATATTGGAAAGAGCAATAAGTTACTGGACTTAAAAAAATATTTTCCATATAAACCAACCTCATTCAATCTGTATCCTATTTGTTTCCAATTCATTGAGCTTTGTCTTAAGAACCATTGCTTTGTGGAGCAGACATCCAGGGGATGCTTCATCATGGTCAATTTGTCAAAGAGGTGACTTTTTGATAATGTTAGTCTGTTACCCTTGTGAATTAAATTTGATAGATGGAAACTTTCAGAAGCTGATGGTTGCACCAGCATCATGGCTGAAGTTGTGAGTATATGGCCTTGTCCAAACTGTTGATCATGCCAAATTATGCATTCTATCCCCAAAACTGTAACTAAGATCTGCTTGGCATGGTCAGAGTTTAGCTCTTCTGTGGGTGTTGAAGACACACAAATATGCCTGATCAGGCGTCTACAACAGGGATTGGCTAGCCATCCTAGAAGACAGATGTACACAGAATAGTAGAGAGTAGCTGGTTATTATATATATTTATTTATTAGGCACTGAATTGTGTCACTTCATGTCTCTCATAGCTTGCTTGACATTTCAGCTAAACTAAAGAATATTTATGAGTATTCCTAAATTCAAATATTTTGAAAAACCAATAACATTTTTGTTTTTAAATACTTGTTGCAAAATGAAATCCTGACATTTGCCTTGATAAAGTCCATCAGTGGACAAAACATATCAGCTAAGATAAGTTTACCTTTTGTCTTTATTCATCTATATATATATATATATATATATATATATATATATATATATACATATCAGTTCGGTATTTTTTTTAAATTGTAGGTGATGCAGTTACATCGGCTCTGGTGACTGTGTAGTCCCACTCTGGAGTCTTTCAGGTACTTGGCACAGATGAAACTGGATGACACGGAGACAGAGGCTGTCCTTGCTTTTCTCCTGGCTCTCTTTGCTCCCTGCTGATCTTCCCTTGTGGTTTCTGCAATCATGACACCATCACTTACTGTGGCTCTGCAGGTGTTGGTGTCAATGTCGGCCAGCCTCATGTCTCATTTGCAGACATCCTTGAAGCAGAGCTGAGGTTTTCCAGATGGGCAGGACCCCCACACTGCTCCCCATACAGGATGACTCTTGGGATGCTGCTGGCACCCATGTGGCGTACGTGCTCCACCCATCTGAGATGTCTTTGGCAGAGCAGCATGAACAGGCTGGGGATGCCGGCATGTTGGAGGACCTCTGTGTTAGTGACCCAGTCTTGCCACTTAATGTGCAGGAGACGTCTGAGGCAGCAGAGGTAAAAGGTGTTTGACCTCTTCTCCTGACAGGACTCACTGCCATACAGAAGGGTGATGAGGATGCAGGCCCAGTAGACTTGTAGTTTGGTGCTCCGTCAGCTGGCTGTTGTTCCAGATGTGCTTATTTAGCTTGGCCATGATGCAGTGGCTTTCCCTATCCTGGAGCTGATCTCGGTGTCCAGGAAGAAGGAGCTGAAGATGATTGACCCGAGGCAGGTGAAGGAGTCCACCACCACAAGGCAATGTCCAGGGAGAAGGCGGTGTCTTGTGCCAGGATGTTGGTCTTTTTGAGGCTGATGGTCAAGTTGAACTCCTTGTAGGGGTGTGGGCTGAGAAGGGAAATGCTGCGGTAGTTATTGCAGTTGCTGCAGTCACCTTTATTCTTATAGAGGGTGACAACGTTGGCATCTTGCATGTCCCAGGAGATGTGGCCTTTCTCCCAGCACAGGCTCAGGAGCTCATGGAGATTCTGCAGCAGAGCTGGCTTGCTACTCTTCAGAACCTCTGATGGGATCCTGTCCTTCCAAGGGGCCCTCCCACAGGAGAGACAGTCAATGGCTTTTCCGAATTCCTCTGTAGAGGGCGAGGCATCCCACTTCTCCATGACTGGGAGATTGGGCAAGGCATCCAGGGCAGCATCTGTCACCATGTTCTGGATTTCATACAGCTCCAGCTAGTGCTCCACCCAGTGCTTCAGCTGCTTGCCCTGGTCTGTAATCTCTAGTGCCTTGGACTTCAGTGGAGTCGTCTTGATGGGAGTGGGACTGGGGGTGGTTTTGATGCCAGCGTACAAGCCTCTTGCATTTCCACTGTTGGCAGCCATCTCGATCATACTGTATAGGTTCCGCCAGTAGTTGTTGGCGCAGTGGCGTGCAGTCTGTTGGGCCTTGCTGTGAGCAGCTCTGATGGCATCGCGGGTACTGATGCAAGGGTTTTGCTTGTAGGTCAGGAGTGCTTGTCTCTTGGCTTTAGAAACTGGTTGCATCTCATCCCAGTGAGCTGTGTACCAGTTCGCATTTTGACGATACTTCTTCCTGAATGCAGTAAGGGCTGAGGTGTATATGGCATCATGGAGGTGGTGCCATCTACTGTCGATGTCAGTGGCACTTAAGGAGGATGTGTTGACCTTCGCGCTAAAGATGGTTTGGAAGCGGCGAGAGGTCTCAGGGTCATTGGAGTGACAGGTGTTGATGCAAGGGAGGCCCTTGGTTTTGGAGTGGTGTATTTTCTTGGCTGTCAGTCTCACTTTGCAGCTTACTAGGGAGTGGTCCATGTCGCAGTCTGCACTGTGGAAACTCAGAGTGTGAAGAATGCTCCTTAGGTCTGAACACCTGTTGATGACAAGGTCGAGCTGGTGCCAGTGGGGGTGTCTTCAAGAGACTTTGTGGTGCTCTTTGCACTTGAAGTAGGTGTTCATCACGCATAATCCATGGTGGCAGCACAGTTCCAGCAGCCACTGTCCATTCTCATTCATCTTGCCTATGCCCTGACAGCCGAGGCAAAAGAGCCATGTGTCACAGTCGGCTACCACTCTGGTATAATCCTTCAGTATTGGGGTTCCTGGATATCATCTCATCCAGTGCCTCATAGAATTGGTCGCTGACCTCTGGGGTGGTACAGAGCATTGGCGCCTAGATGCAGAGGACGTTAGCGAAACCTGTAGATGTTGAGAGGCACAGTGCTAGGATTCTCTGAGATCCGCCAGTTGGTGGTTCAATGGCTGGTATCAGCAAATTCTTCACAGCAAATCCTATGCCGTGTTGCCTTGGGTCATCCTGAGGAAGGCCCTGCCAGAAGAAGGTGCAGTTAGCCTCTCTGATGGAACTGCTGTCAGCCAGACGAGTCTCTTGCAGCCAGGCGATGTCAGTGCCCAGTCTTGAGAGTTCCCTGTCTATGACCACGGTCTTTCGAGCATTGTCAATCTGTTGGATGTCATCTGTGAGTCCAGGGTGCATGGTCTGGACATTCCAGTGAGCAAATTCAAGAGCTGGAGTCTTTGTATTTCTTTCTTTTCTGCTTGGTGTGGGATCTACAGCTTGCTTATTAGGAGGATCAGTCCCTGAACCCTACACACCCAGTAGAGCAGGCAAGCTGTGGCAGGACAGCACCTTATTGGCTGGGGGCTGCTTAGCTTGAGGTGGGTGGTAGGTGCCAGTTACCTACACCAATCGTGTTGGGCTTTTGACAGGTAACTGTCACTTCCCGTGTTGTGCCAATGTCTAGCAACATACTCTCCTGTGTGCTACGAGTCTGGTCAGGATGTATGGAGAACTAGGGCTGCCCAGATGTCTAGTTCCACCTCTTGACCTTGCTAGCAGAGTCCAAAGGAGTGGATAAACCAATACATTTTGGTACCAGTGTGGCTGCAGGAGTTGCCAGTAGGTAGCACAAAGTGCCGTCCATCAACCTTAGGGGCTCCACTCTGGATTCATGTAGGGTTTACTCCTTGGCCTTTCCTTCTTCTGAAGATTTCCACAAGGCAGTGGAGTTATTTAACCCATAGCTGGAGTTTGGGTCATGGGCACCAAGGCATGTCTACATACAGGTGGGCCTGCATGCTGCATGTTAAGGGGGCCAAACACCTTCCCTGTCCCCTGTAGTTTAGCCTGAGTCCACAAGGTGCTCGGTTGCCATGTGTCACCAAGAGGAGACACTACATAGGGTTTGCTGATGGAGAGGCTATATACTGGCCGGGGAAAACTTACACACTCTGCTCCCCTTTTTGCATTTCTGCTAGTCAGTGGCAGTAACTGAAAGCAACAAGCACTACCACTACAGACTACCACACTAGACACATCACAACAGCCATTGAGACACACACACACACACATATATACATATATATATATATATATATATATATATATATATATATATAAAATATGGGTATGGGCTAAAAATAACATTTACAGTTATAAAAAATGGTGAATTTAAAATAAATCCATTAGTTCTTTAGAAATTGCTGTGTTTACATTTCGGATACAAAACAGAACAGATATTATCTTTCAAGAAAAGTAATTTAAATGCTGAAATTTGCTTTCCTTAAAAGGGGAAAATATAACCTTGCTGGGCCAAGCAGTTTAAGGCTCTCTGGATCAAACAGTGATACCTTTTTCTTATAAATTTAATTAATCAGCAACTTTCTTGAAAAGTTATCAGGATATAGACTGCAAAAGACAGAAATTTTCCATTGAACATCAAATTATATAATCTACATGGAAATGGAAATGGAATTGCCAGAACATGTTTAATTTAAATTTATGCATTTTAATGTGATTGTACAAGCAAATAGAATTAATATGTTTTGTCATGAAAATGATCAATTTAAAAAAATATTAACAGAGAAAAGTTTAATTTTATTTTTACTACCAATAATAAAAATTTGAAGTAATTCTTCTTTTATGTGCCATGTCCCTTCAAGATGAGAGAGGATCATAACTCTCCACAACTTCCTATCCTTCCAATCTCTAAGTAATGCTTGTCCCCTTACTACTCCTCCAAGTCCCTGTTCTGCCATCCATTTACTCGAGCTTGTAGCCAAAGTATTATCAGCAATAATCAATTACATGACATCAGTATCTTAGGATGCAACAAAACCTTGCTAATTTTCTGTCACAATGTCATAATCCCAGATGAAAATGTAGTCTCACAATTTTCAAGTCAATGTACATGGGCAGAGAAATGAGATTTAAATTTACCTACTTGTTGATGATGAATAGCTAAAGTGAATTTCATCTGGAAAGTCATGAGAAAGTTCCTCCTTAACTCACCTTCACTTAAATTGATAGCCAATGTTGAAAAACAAAGTAATCATTTGTATTGTCATATATTCCCATTAATGGATAGCGGCTCGGATTGAGGAATCGGAGAGCTGAGTTGGAATTCCTTTCAAATCCATTACATTCACTTATGTGCTAGTAGCCTTGGGAAAGGTATGAATCCTCTTCTCTCCCCAGCTATGGGTAAATAGCAAGGCAGACTGTGTTCTATAGCCTTGGATAGTAACTGGTCTACCGCAGAAAGAAATGGCAAATTACTGCAGGAAAAAATCTGCCTCATCAGTCATGTATCAAAAAATACATGATTACCTAAGTGTGTATCATGTATGGCATATAACTGACTGATATTCCTAGTATTTTCTCTTTTCTATTGATTTACTTATCTCAACTCAATATTACTGAGACAAGTGAGTAATTTTAGTCATATGGCTCTATACTCTTCTGATTTAATGATGGTATTCTCCCCCAAACTTTCAGGTTGTTGTTGGTGTATGTCCCATTGGCTCGTGTCATGATGCCAAATGTGTGATGTTGCTATCCCTTGAGAATGCACATTGTGAACTTAGCTACAAATTCCTGTCATTCCACATAGTGGTCTTTTCCAGCTGTCACTAGTTTTCCTAATGCCATTCTAACTTTCCAGGAAGTTTATAAAAGATATTGCCTTCACATGTAGCAGATACCCCACCACAAAAAAGCTTTCTCTTTTTTTCTCTCCACACACACACACACACACACACACAGACATATATATATATATATATATATATATATATATATAGATAGATAGATATATAGATAGATAGATAGATATACAATGTTTGTTTTGAGCACTGTTAAAAATGTAAGATATATTCATGGCAACATTTATTTATTTTTCATATATATATATATATATATATATATTTATATATAGGATTTAATATTTAAGAAACAGCAGATATTTTTATATATAGCGCTCAATATTAAAAATATTAAAATAATATTAAAAAATAGAAACATCGATGTTGGGATAAAATTGATATTTAAAAGTTTAGTAATATAATATTATATATATATATATATATATATATATCTGTTATTACATCAAATGTTATTTTTAATGGATATCCATATTTGAGTAGATATTCCTTTTTTATTTTAAAAGAAATCTTATTAAAAAAAATGAAATCCATTATTTTTAGAAATTGTTTTGAAATATATATATATATATATATATATATATATATATATATATATATATATATATATATATATATATATATATATATATAACCAAGTTTAGGATTGGTGTGGACGGAATAAAATCCCAATAACCAAAAACACTATTCTTAAAAGAGTGTTCAATATAGAGTAAGCAAATATTATTTAATCAAAATTATGACATAAACATATTATAAAAATAGCTACTTTGTTTCAACACTTCTGGTGTTGAATGAACCATATATATATATATATATATATATATATATATATATATATGTATGTATGTATGTATGTATGTTTGTGTGTATCTCTACCTGTCAGTATTCAAGAGACTTAATACAGAATATGTGCTTTCTGGCATGGTTCAAACCCACATTTCCCTTTGTTGGAGAAACCACCATCTTATCTGGTTTATTTCAGTCTACTCGGCTACAGGGATTATTACAAGAGGAAAGTTCATTTACCCTTCTGAAGAATGCAGACCCTAACCTTCAGATCTTTTTGAAAGCCTATATTTGCTTATTTTTCATATCCAAAATGTAAACAAACCCTATTTTGTGATACCCATCTTTCAGTAGTTGCCCTCATTTTTTTAAACAGTGAGAATAACTCTACCGCTCTGTGCACATTTAAAAGATGTAATAATTAAATCTGTCATAGAAACTGCTGACTAATTTGACATGCTTTAGACAGTTCAACCACAGAGAGCATCACAGGCCACTATTGTTCAATGACATTTACATTCTTCAAAATTTAGGTCTAATAAATATTATATATACCACCATATTTTATACTCCATTCTCATTTAGAGGTAAATTGTACTAAACCAGTGTGTAGCATGACCTATCTGATATAAGTATTCATAGTTAGGATAAGAAAAATTAATATTCTCTAGCAAGTGTTCTAAGAAATACGACTCAAGATATACCTTTCCAAAACATAAACATAAACTTGATGTATGGATCAGTTATGACAAATTTAGTATAAGAAATAAAGAGAGTGAACATAGAATTGCCTGTACTAGAGATAATTTTGCTCAACACAATTTTTTTTTAATCATTTCAAGGTGATAATGCCGCTAAGATGCAAGTGGTTAGTGGGAGTGAAAGAGAATGAGAATACTTTAGTGAGGAGAAAGAACAATAAAAGAACAGATCTCAGGAAGACAGAAGATGAAGACTGATATGGCATTTAAATTTTTGAAGATTGTAAGAGGCAGGGAAGCAAGAAACTGGGAGGGAGTTCAACAGGTGAGAAGTGCGAGAAAAGAAACTGTTAGAATAATACA